ATTAATTTACAAATCAAAATTTTTTATCGTATTATCTTCAAATAATCACTTTATATTTGAATTTGTTTACATTTTTTATGCATTCCTGTATGTAAATAATGAGAATATTTTTCAAAAATTTGTTGTATAATGGGGCTTTTGCTTTCATGTTATACTAAGAAAGTTATATAATTAAAATATTTTTAAAATTTCATAATAATTAATGGAATAAACAATTCTCGTATGAATTTTTGAAAGGTAAATTTACCTTAACTTATCCATAAACTTATAGAGCATTGCTCTCGTTTTATTATGCAATGCAGTACATTACTGCTTTTATGATTTTACATTAAAAAAATTCATACATATACTCTCTATAATAAGATACAATAATCATTACAATATTTTTTCATCTGAATTCCAATAAAATATTTTATCTTATGTACAAAATACTAACAATATAATGCATTTATTAATTAAATAATAATTATAATTACATATTTTTGTTTATCTATAGAGGATTCATATATGCATAACATTTTTAGTATTTTTTTTTTTCAAAAATGCTCTTGATTTTATTGTGAAGTCTCGTAAGTATAATATGTAATGAAGAAACAATGTTAAATAATAATAATGAGCATTGTTTTGTTAATATGTGCATTTATACATTCATATATCACTCATTTGGTGGAATAATCGCATAACTCAATAAATCTGATTTGTACGAACACTCTCACTTCTCTAGTTAGCATTTTTACAACCACAATCTGAGTTGATATCGATTGTGAAATGAGTCGACTGATATTATCATTATTATAGCTACTGTTGCGTACAATAGAATCGGTGGTAACATTCCGTACTTTATGCAGGGAAAAGCTGTTCTTTGGTTTTGGCAGGAATAGTGCTCTTTAACCGGGTTGTATTTAATGTATGTATATATTTTTAATATTATATTTTTTATTGAGTGAAATTAATACAGTTATAAAAATATTGATTAAACTACGGCTCTAGAGAAAACGTAAATTAATCATCTTTAGTAAGTATTCAGGAAAGAGTTTTCCCTTTATAGTTATTATTATTAATGATTTTAAACGGATAGTTTCTTTAAGGATGCTGTTTTAAATATTAATTCAGTGAATTAATAAAAGAAAAGTGTGGGGTCATTAAAAATTATAACCCAAGTCAAAATTAAGTTGGTTTTTTTAACATTAAAGCTTAAGTTAACAGAGTTGTTTTTGCAGTTTTAGGAAAGTTATGTTGTTCCCTTCAATTTACAAGGAATTTTTTATAGAAAATGAGTAAAGTGATTATATAAGTCGATAGAGAATAAAAAATCAATGGCATTGATGTAAAAAATTTTTTTTTTCGATTTTTGATTTAATTGCGTATTGCCTGAAGCCACAGTTCTCCTACAACAAAAGTACATCTTTATACAAAACTCTGCTTGCTTCGAAATATTGTTTCAAAAACGTTACAAATTAAAAATTCAGGAAGAGATTCATCTACTGTCAGTCGTCTTCTTATTTCTGTAATTTCAAAGTTGATCTACTTAAAATTGCATTTTTTGAGATATGTCACTCTTATAGGAAATAAGCGATATATTCTCATAAATATAAACTATTATTTATACTCATAATATTAGGTTTATATTATATAGGATTAATTACACAGGATATATGATCATTGGAAATTTTTTTTCAAAAATCTCCAGTTCAATAAATTCTGAGTATAAATGTCTGAAAATAATTTTTTTATATTTGATTAAATTCAAGAAACTTACATGACTAATATAAACTCGTATATTATAGTTCACAATATAATAATATTAAATATAATTTTAATTATACAGGTAATGTTTTTAACCTGCACAATATTATTATTTATGTAACAATATATGAATGTTAAATATGTGCTCTTGAAAAAATATACAACAAAAATCTTAATAATTATTCTTGTGCTTATTGCAAGGACTTGTATAAGAATTAGTTTCTAGATGAATGATTTAAAAAATATTTATGCTATTAATTATTTTTATGTATATGCTTTGATTGTGCATATTTTATGTATATTTGTGCATAAATTTCTGAATATGATAAGATTTTGTACATATATACACTATTTCACTGTCTATGACATTGTCTACGGCTTAGCAAACAAAAGTATTGTACTTGTTTTAAATTTTTCAATAGCCTATAAAAAAAAGTATATAACAGTGTATTAAATCAATAGTGAAACATGATCATCGACTGACTACGCATCGTGCATATATTTTGTTTGGTAAACAAGTGAATTTAATAAATTATTTTTTTGTTGCTGCAACGTCAAAGAAAGGTGTCAACATATTATATACCAATAATATTGTTATATACAAAAAATTTGTATGTAACGTTGTTGCTTATCAACTTTTGCGTCTAATTTTACTAATATCGCTATTTGAATTTTAGTTATATAAGATCACTTTAACCCTTTCTTGTCTACAACACATTGTGTATATTTTTATCAAAATTAAATTGTAGTGAAAATTTCTATTAAACAAATCGATTGATATTGATTAAATTATTTAAATTTTCAATCATTAATAAGATAAAATCAACTGCTTCTATGTATACACACTAAATTTAATACATACATATATGCGAACATACAAAAATCAGAAAATTTATATAATTAACTACATTATAATTTTTCCGGTATAATGAAATTTATTGAATGTTAATTACATTTAACGGGATCTATTTAATTGCTTATTATGACCTTATGTATATTTACTTAACAAAAATATAGCTTAAATAATATTATATAAAATGAAAACCACTAAAACCACTTTATATTTTCAATAATCGTTAAATTTCTTCATTAAACAATTAACTTAACATATGTATATAGATAGGTGTGACACGAAATAAACACCTACATGTTATATAATACTGATGTTTAATCATATTAACACATTATCTCCCGGCGATATTTCTAAAAAATTTTCCTCTGGTACCGGGGCAAATTAAAAAAAAAAAATGTTTCATTTGAAATGCTTTTTAGATTCAGAAACTTGAACAAAATAACTTCGAATTATTAAAATTGTAACCAATTAGAAATTATGTAATAATATAATTCAATAGTTTTTAAAATGATAATATATTTTAATAATTTTGGTACATGGATAATTAAACATTTTAGTATTTTTTATTGATATGATATTTTTGAAAGCATTCTCCAACATGTAATATTACTTTACAAGATTTACACATATAAGCACTTGGTTTTCTTATTTTATGCGCAGAACAGACGCGACAATTCCTTCTAACAAATTTTTTGGCCTTATCGCTGAAAATTATTTTATAAAGGCGTTTTCTCTTATTTTATAAAGATGTTTGCGTTCAAATTCAACAAAATGCACATATATGTGTACACGGGATTTTCTTGAAGTTCAATTTAAAGCACAAATGTGTGCACACGGTACGTAATGTGTTAACAAAATATTTGAAATATTTTCATCTTTTCATGTTTTTCAATTTTAATGAAATCTTTTTTATGCCAATAAAATGAAATTATTATTAAAAAATTTAAAAGAACGGAGGGTAATTGTAGAACTAAAATTAAATTCTAATTAGTCTTGTTTTCTTTTGTTGCGTCAAAACTTATAAGTCAATCACATTAAATTGAATTTGCAGACTATTTACCGTTTACAACATTAATTAATAGATTTAGGTAAACCAACGGTTTGTAATGCAGTACTTTTCGTTTCAACAAGTGAAAATAATGCATTCAAAAACAATTTAGATTTGTACTATATCAGTGATTCCAAAATTGGTCTATATAAACCCGTAGGGGTCCATGAAAACTTGCTAGAGGTCTACGGATGTGAAAAAAAATATCTTCCTACTGTTAGAAATTTAACTCTATTTAAGAAAGTAGCAGAGGGTTTATCAAAAATTGAAAAACACAATAAGGGGTCTACGTGAGAAAAAAGTTTGGGAGACTCTGTGCTATATTATTAAAATTATGTACTTTTATTTATATACTATTATTTATCAAAAATTGCATACATTTAGGATGAGCAACATATTTTTTAATGTCATAGAAATTACCTGTAGAAGTTAAGGTGCCAAAAAGTTTATTTAGAAGGGCGATAACTTGAGAGGAGTTGGATGTGGGAAAAAATATTTTAAGGAAATGAATTATTTATTAGTTTCTAAAAGTTGCTAAAATTACAGACTCCTTCAGCCTATACGACATCAAAAATTTGTAGAACGATATCAAAAATTTGTAAAAAACTGTTTTGTTTATTTAAAGTTCAAATGTGGTATGCCGCGGTAAAAGAAGCCAGGCACTACTTATTTTTGTTTGTAAAATTTGGAAAATGCTTTTGGGTTCAGTACAATAAATAGTCAAAATGTGCAATTTTTAAGGTTTTCGGGGCTGTAATATTTACTTAGGGAAGGGAGGGGGGAGGATAGATTAGAATTTTATTTTACGGAAATAAGTTTCAAGTGAAGAAATAATATACGTATGAAATTTTAGCTTTCTATCCTAAAGGGTGTAGAAGTTTTATAAACAAGATCATGGACGGACGGACTAATGCAGCGAAACTAATATGCTTTTTTTTTAAATTTTTTTTAAAATCAGTTTTTGAAAAGAAAAGCAGTCAGTGAATACATTTTTAAATTTAAAGAAAAATTAATTTTCCGAAATGAATCTTTTAAATAAAGTCCTCGAAATACAATATAAATATTATGTACCTACATGCATGTTCATTAAACAAACAAAAATTTAAAAATTTTTTTTTCGTATTTTTATAAATCTTATTGTAAAAAGAAAATCAAAAGCTAATCCTTACTTTAAAAACAATAGTAAAGTATAAATTACTTTTTTTTTCTTTCTCATACACACACACACACTTTCATTATACTCTTATAAGTGAATAATTCCTATTATTTAATCTCCATTTTGTTTTTTTTTTTTTTTTTTTGAAAAAATACTTATATTAAATTCCCTTTTCTATCATTAATCTGAACACTTACTTGTAATCTTCTGTTTCAAAAGTGTGAACTGGACATGCTGAATAACATTTGTGTTCATGCATAACCAAATGATGATCACAACTCATACAATAATTTGGTCGTTCTTGACAAGAAGCACAATTTGATTCACATGGTACACAAGTTTTGTTTTCTGTATCTGCAAAATAATAATAATAATTTGAAAAAATGAAAAAGAAAAAATTTGAAAAAGAAATTTTCAAATTTTATGGTAGAAAATTTTCAATTTTATTTAATTAAAAAAAAAAACACAAAACATACACAAATATACAAAAGAAATATTGTACTTGAATATGACAAACCCATTTACAACACATACAAGAATAAAATTTAAATTTGTAATTGTGTTATTCAAATAATATTGTATTTGCTTTTGCTCTTATTATACAGAAAAGAATGTATTTTTAAGGATATTTTAAGCAAAAATTATTATAAGATTTTTTTTTCATTTCAATCCTGTAAAAAATACAGCATAGAAAAATAATTTTCTATAAAAATGTTATAAGAATTCTTTTCTATATTTTTCGAAAAAAAAAAATTTAATTAAAAATTTTTTTTTTGGTTTTTTGTGTTGCTTGTTTTTGTTTCTGGTATCTAATGTAATCTGTAACAATATCCTTAGAATTTATGCCTATATTAAATATTAAATTAGTCAAACTAATTTCTATATTACTAGCTATATTTTTTTCGTATTATGGTTACATAAAACTTTCATTTTTTTAAAATTGTATGTATTCAGAGTATGAAATAATTACATTTTTAATAAAAAAATTTTAATATGGTCAGTCCATAACCGACCGCAATGTGTATTTTGCTATTTTCCAGAAAATATTTATATTCGATGGAAGCTACAGTAGAAACCTTTTAGTTAATATACCTAGAGAAATATAAATTTGGGCTTTAGTTGAGGACAGAAGTTCACTTTCTAGAAATCGATTCCGTTCAAAAGTGGATCAGTTAATTAATAAGGAGAATTCAAGTAATAAATTTGATGAAATTTTGTTTATTAATTGCTTAGATTTGGTAAAAATTTTAAAGTTGGCTTCTAATGGAAATTACGGATTTTTGAACTCAGTGTATTTCTGAAATTTACTAGGTTATTGTTTGGAAATGTCATAATAGATCTTTTGTTTTGTTTTTTTTTGTCGAACCAGAGTTGAAATATTAAATTTCAAGGAAATTATGTATGAAAATGAGAATATAGTTCGGTTACTATTACTAGATTTTCCTTAAAAATTTGAAGCGGCTTGTCATATTTTAATGCGAAACCCATAAGAAAAAAGTGACGAAATTCTAAGTATTTCCTTGAAAATTATTAAAAATTTTAAAATTGCACCATAGCAAAAGTTCAGTTTAAGAGATATGATCCCAAATCTACCATATGGTTAAAATAAACTCAGATATAAATTTTCATAAAACTTGATTCAGCCGAAATCGAAGTCAACAAATGCACACAAAAAAACTGATTGATAAGATAGACAGTCGTATAGAGTAATTGGCAAGCACAGATCGATTTATCGAAAAATGGTTTACGTTCCCTATCTCAGAACAATGGGGAACGTAATTTATTATTCGAAAACTTAAGATTCAAAGCTTGGCATAGTATCGCAATACTTCGCATTTTGCATGCCATGTGGTACGATAAAAATTATACCTATTTATTTTTTGTGACACAAAATCTCTTTACTTTGTTTTTTATTTAAAAAAAATATAACAAAAATCAATTCATTTAATAATTTTATACACCAGTATTAGAATTAAAAAGGTCAAAATTAAAAAAAAAAGAAATTTACTAATATAACCAAATTGGTTATAGGCCATGGTCATGCAGATTTTTGAAAATTTTAATTAAATGCAATAGTGTTTTTGAAAAGTTTATTGTTTATTTGAATACCTTTTACATGTTAGTGTTGACTATTAAATTTTATTGGTGCATATTCTTAAATTCTTGGTGCAATTGGTATGAATTTTATTTGAAATTATTCTCTTATGCAATTATAGCTTATACAACACTTAAGAACTGTTCAAAATTAGGCTGTTGGAGATTTTTTGGTTCATAAAGAAAGAACAATTTAGCATAGTCTTAAACCAGAAAAGTCGAAAGATAAGAAACCCAAATTCATTTCTTAGCAAATTAAAATATTTTTGACATGTAAATGCAATTATTTCTTCCAACTTTTCGCAACAACTTCTCACATTATTTGTTTGTATCATAATGCAATTCCAAAATGTTCTAATAAATGAGAATTTTATAAAATAAATTAAATATTTATACTTACTTTCATAATAACCATCCGGACATACTTGAAGGCATACAGCTAAATCTGTTACATGTAAATGTGCTGGGGCACATGTTAAACAACTATCTTGCCCAGCGCCAGCACATGTTTCACAAGATTCATGACATGGCCAACAAACACCACCTTGATTAGGAAAACTTCTTGGTGGGCAACGACTGACGCAAGTACTATATAAAAAGAAAAAGTGAAAAATTTAATTATAACAGGAAAAATTGCTATAAAATTGCAATATTTTCCTTTGTACCTATTTGTGTGTGTTTCTGTGTTTTGTGTTTTGCTTAAAACTAGATGCCATAAAACACATTTCAAATTACTTAAACCATATGTGTTAGAAATAATACAAAAAAAATGAAAATTTTCCGAAATAATTTTTATTGCTTTTTTTTCTTTTGCCCACAAACACACAACACAATTTACAAAATATTTACACATTGTAAAACTATATACATAATATGAAAATAGTATTTCTGTATGTGTGTGCACATAAACCAATTATGGGCAAAAACTCTTACAAATTAATATAAAATGGAAAAAAAAAATAGAATAAAATGCCAAAATGGAAAATAACATTCTCATAATAAGAACATAAAAGCAATAGAAATAAAATTAACAAGGATTCCCAGATACCCAGTTATAGCTATGAGTGTTAATCTTTTTTTACAAGTAAAACAACAAAAAAGAAACTTCACATTACATAATTTTTAACTGTTAACTATCAATGTGTGTTTCTATTTTGTATATATGTATAAATACAATGGTATTGTAAGCATATACATAAACCATATCTATGAACAGAAACGAGAAACACAAATACGAGCATGTCATGTACCCCTATTACAGCCATAAATATATGTACTAAATTTGTGATATAAAAAAAAGAAAGCTGTAGATAGGGTACCTATATTTTTTCGGATAACATTTCAATATTGTGCATAATATTATAAATATTATATAAAATGTAGGTATACTTACTTGTCTAATCGATAATGTTTACAAGCAACACATTGTGTTGGTCCACGACCATAACATCCTTGTGAATCACATTCTGGGTCACAATCATGCAATACCAATTTATTATTTGAATCAGCCATTACTGTTTGTCTTTGTGGTGTTGGTATATTATGACCATCAACCGTTGCTACAGATTTTTCTGGATTACTAGCTGCTCCGGTAAATAAATTTTGATAATTTAAATAACCCGAATATGGATCAGTATTATATGGTTGCCTTAAATCAGAATCAGTTGGATATACAAATGGATTTACACCTTGATGTCGACGAAATGATGATGATGACTCAGTTCCATCACCTTTTAAACGTACTGGATTTGTTGATGTACCATAAAATATTAACTGCCATTTTGATAATATTCCAGGTTGATTAACACGTCTACGACCACCATTAATTACTTGTAATGTCCATCTACCTTCAGCTTTTTCACCCCAAAAATGTACACTTAAAAATGGCCAATCATCGAAATTTGATTTAACAATATCACGTGGCCTTTCAAATAATAATGTACTTGTTGTACCCATTGGTGATGTTAATAATATTCTTAAATTTCCTCTTGGGAAAAATCTTAATGTTATTTTACATTGAACATGCTCCAAATATCGTACTTCATTTATTGTTCCGGCACAACCATTTACATCCATATGTGTTGATAATGTAAATCCATATGAACCATCTATTTGTCTATCTTCATTATTTTCACGTGATTTACAAATATGTTGTGATGGCACTGTTGTCCATTGTTCAGCTAAACTAACCATTGCACCAGCATCCATTAAACCATAACCAAATTTATGACTGAATTTTCGTTTAACACCATTTAATATCCAACCACTTTCTTTTTCTAATGGTTCTGGTCTTGATGTCATTACAACTAAATATTGCATATCACGCCATGTTAATGTTGGATTTGCTTCAAGTGCTAATGCAGCAATACCAGCAGCTAATGGTGCTGATGCTGATGTACCAGTATGTTCAACAGTACAAATATGATCAGGCCGTAAACGTCCATCCATATCAACTGTGGCTACAGATTTATCATGACCAGGTGTACCAGAACTATATGTTGTGGCTAATGTTGATGAGCATTCCTCTAAATACCAAGGCTTAAAGCTGTATACAATGTGTTTTTGGTGTGGTAAAATAAAATTTCCCAAAATCAAATGAAATGGAAATGGAATGAAAAGAAAGAAAGAAAAAAAAAAGGATAAATTGAAAAGTTAGTTAATTTCGTTATTACTTTTGAGATTTTTTTTTTGTTTTTATAATTTCATTTTGATTTTCTCTTTTGTTGATTTAATTAACTTTTGGCAAAAATAACATTTTAACGGTTTCCATATCACAAAGGTGAAATTTAATTGCTATTATTATGTTGTAGAAAATTAAGTTTATTGTTCTGCAGTTAAGTTTTGATGGTAAAAATCTGATTATTTAAAAAAAGGAAATTAAGAATTTAATTTATATTTTTAATTTCAATTATATTTAAAAGGCTTTCAGAAAAAGAAGCACCATAATATTTTTGTTATTGTTAGAGTTTTAACTTATATTTTAATTAAAGGTGAAATAAATATTATAGAAATTGAAATGAATAGTGGAAATTTCATATCGAGTTAATGTACCTGGGCCATTTTGTTTTTGTTCAATTCTTATATGAGATAATTGGATTTTTACACATTTTAATGATACAGAGAATATTAGGGATGATTCCATGGAATATATTAATTTATTAATTTTAACATATTTGAATTATTTTACATTTTTTGAATTTTTTTGACATTAAAAGAAAATTAAGAGGAAAATCACAGTGTAGTTTTTTACTACTATTAATACTAATAATTACTTTTACTACTATTAATACTATTAAACAAATAAAACCGAACTTTCATCTGTTTTAAGAAGTATGATTTTTCCGAGTAATATCTTTGTGCTTATTTGCTAAATCAATTGAATTTTAAAGAGGATACGTTTTCACATACTAAAGGATTTAAAACCAATAAATTTTCGTTTATGACCATCATCTACAGTTGTTCACTATGTCTGAGATTATATTTTAAAATTAACTCAATATATAATTCAGGAACCAATGTTTATTTTTAATAATCGCGGTAGTTAATATTTTAAAAAAACGAGATTTCGTGATAACCTGGTCGTCACAGAATATGCTATTACTGGCCACTCGTCTTAAAAATCTTAAAAATTTTATTGAACTCAGCCCATTGATGAGCAATGATCAGAAAGTTCCTATTTTGAATTTAATTTACATTCCGATATTTTAATGTCTACAAAATGTTTACTTATTTTAGGCTGACTGGAATGAAATTTTTATATCTCAGTCCTCTCGTCTAATCTACAAAAATAAGTAATGAATTTGATTTAAATTGATTTTTGAGAAAATTATGGTTTTTATACATAATCTAGGGAAACCTTAGAAATTTACTTATGAAATTAAACATTAAATAATATTTTGGAGATAAGTAGCGAAATTTCGCAAAATTTTGAATTTAGTGACGCTAATAGAATTGTATTTAATACAGAATTTGAGAAACATTTAAACATGAGCACGAATTTTAAATTATTAATCTTTTCCTAAAAATCTTTTAAATAATTTAATATTCAATTTAAGGTTCTCTAGAATTTAGAGTTTAATCAGCTTAAAAATTCTCAAAGTTTTCAATATTATCTCTCATTTATTATAAAAATATTAATTTGTTCCTCTTAATATTTACAATTTATATATTTATTATTTCATTGAAATTAGTTAAAATACACACACAACTACAATAATAATTATGATTTCCGAAGCATTTTATTATAACTATGGAACTTTCGTATACATACAATATAGAAATTTCAAAGTATACTAAGTGTTACATCGAATTCTTCTTCTAATTAAGAAATTTATAATTGAATATTAAAGTGAAAAATTTATCTATAGTTTTACATTTTACCCATTGTAATGTTAAAAAATTATTATATCTAAAAAGTTTTTCATATTTAAAAAAAAAAAAATAATATTTTCATTATAAATTTTCTTCTGTCAAAGAAAATTTTCAAGTAAAAGAATAATTATTAAGAACACTTAAAAACAATGAATCATAAGTAAAATGAAAATAAATTAGCAAGTTTTTTTTTTCTCTGTGTAAATTAGGAAGTGCTTATTATTTTTACATTAAAAAAATTTTTTTAAGTACCTACCGTAGCTATTTATTATATTTTTTTTTTTTTATGAAATTGTAAAGTTTTTTTTTTTACCTTTAAAAGTGAAATTGAAATATTTCTAATAATTAATAAATAAAATGATGCAAGAATATTAAATTGTGCGGAATATAAATTGAAATATCGTTGATAATGCATGAATTTTCTAAAATTTTTAATATTTCAACACGGTAATTTATAATATTAGAGAAATGTAAGGAATTTGCTTTATAAGCCTTTAATATGCTATAGCCTAGATAGAATAATTTTTGAAAAAAATAGTGATACCCTATTCACTGGATCCTTTCTAATATAGCCTCTATTGTGGTGAAGAATCATAAATTTTACATTCGAATTAAAACTATATCGGTAAACGTCCTGAAACAGTGCAACATGGCGATACAAAAGAAGTAGATAGATCTAAAACATATATAACATGCAAAACAGAAAAATCTCTTCTGAATGAACACTATCGTTGAAATATTTATAGCAAAGTTGAGTTAAGTCCTTCTTTAAGCGGTACCGTTTTTTATTGTGCATTGATATTCAATAGGCTTAAGCATTTGATAAAAATAATTGTAGATTATAGATTGTTGAAGCGAGATTTGGACAAGGGAATCCCCTCCGACCACTTTAATGGCAGATATTAACAGTTCAGAGAATGGAAAGAGCTAAACGAAAGGGACCTCTTAATCGTGCCAATCCGTCAGCAATTTAGTTGTCCACGTGCCCGTTGTGTCGTGAGAACCAAATGAGAACATATAGATGGTGTGATTTTTATATCCCCTTTCAAAGTTTATTTTCAAGCATATTTGTATTGCATGTATTTCAGCTTGAAATACCAAGCAATACGGATCAAGGCTCGCGCTAATACGCGTGTCCGGCCGCTCTCCGCACACATCCGAGCCTACCTCACCGTATATTATAATAATAATAATGTTCCTTAATTCCTATAATTATCAAGGAATAAGAATTAATATTGCTGTTATAAAATGTTATACACATAAGAAACAAAAAAAAAAATTTAAAAAGTTAATAAATTTATTTTTGTTCTTTTCTGAACGAAAAAACCGTATAAAATCGTACTTTTAACGGGATACACTTTGTTATTATTATTTTTATTATTTATTGTTATTATTAATATTTTCTTATTTCCTTTTTTTTGCGTAAATACTCTTAAAAGTATTACTTAAATTTTAGAAATTACACAATAAACACTACGGAAATTCAAAAAGAAAAAACAGCGAAGGAGAAATTGGAAAAATAAACAGATATTTTTATTGGACTCTTAACGAATTGATTCCTTTATACTTGTACAACAAAAACCAATTTTTGCATACTTCAATTTTATTTTTTAAAGGGGATTTCGAAGAAAAACTTTTTATTATTATTTTTATAAACAAAAAAACATTTTTTTCAATTTGCCCCCAAAAGTTATTTTCTTCGTTTTTCGTTTTTCCTTTTTCATTCTTTTTTCTTTTTCATTTTTCTTTTCGGTATGATCCTTTGGAAATTGAAATATTAATAATTAATTCCGTTCGAGAATTAAATAAATTCGGATCAAATCAATGTGAAATTATAAAGTAGCTCATTTCCCTTGAATAATAATGCCATTTAAATTTCTCTCATTAACATGGTTAAATTATAAAATATTGCATACTTTTCGGGATGCAGCAAAACAGTTAAAAGGAGTACATATTAACTTAACAATCTAATTCAACGAAAACATTTATTTAACGGTTCAGCTGTCACAATTAAGCTTACATAATTTTTCAAAAATAAGAAACCGAAAATTCGAATTTTGCTAATTTTGAACGGCGTTATATTGGTAGAGCGTGGGAGAATATAAAAATATTGTTGTAATACAGAACCCTATTTACTAATTTTTAAAAAATCATAAAACCTTAGACTGCAACAACATACCGTCTAAGAGGGAAACGGTGTTAAAAACAACGGTAAAACGGATTTGTTATAATGAGAGTAACTCAAGGACCCTTCTGTTAATGTATTGCTTTGCTGTAGAAAAAGAAAGTTGTTACTTCTCTGCGTTCGCGGAATTTACAAATGTTTACTCTTTCAATATACAATGAATTCTCAAAATATTATATTTTTAGTATTGTTGGAGGTCTTTAGTCTTTGGGCGGTAAAAATTTTCTTTTTAGATAAATTAATTTTCACAAAAATCCGGTTGTTTTCCCTGCAGTTTAATCCAGTAAAGAATGGACGGACAGAGTGATACTAATAAGAACATTTTTTAATTTTATTGAAAATTTTCTAAAAATTCTATATATAACTTTCTAATGAATTTCCATTATAATATAATATAAAATGGGCGTATGTATCCGTATAACTTGAATTACAATCAAGATTAACTAAAAATCAAAAATTATATACAAAAAGTATTGCTGATGCTTACTGAGTTTTAAGATTTTAGAGTACCCAAGACGAATTAGTTAGGTGAAATAAGATTATTTTTGTTTTGTAAAGTTTTTAAAAATTATGTTTTATTTGTTTTTTTTTCTGTTATATTGAACTTTTGAAAAGTTTTAAATCTAATAAAAAAAAGGAACAGATCAAATTGATATAAAGGTATAAATAGACAATTTCGAATGTTGGTATACATTAGATCAATTTTAGTATAAAATTTCTAGGCGTAATTGTAATCGTCTTATTATACTACCTTCGCGATTAAAAACGATTTAAAATATAGATGCGTAAGAACAATTTCTGCAAGCACTTCGACATTAAATCTGGGTCTACTCCTAGAAAGATATTATTATAACAGTGGTCAGTGATACATTCTAATTGATCATATAATTAGTCTCCTAAATAAATTTTTAATTTTATGTAGTATTACGAGTATGTCATGTACGTTATTCCAGTTTTGTTCATGTTAAATAAGAATGTCAATTTAGCAATTTAAAATGTACATAAAGATAATAATTATTATAAGATTTAAGCCAAAAGAGTGTCCTATTAAATTTGTACCACTAGAAATAATTGATATTTTTCGGCTGTGTATTTTCAATTTCCTGGTAATTAAATAAGTGATTTGTATACTACTGACGGTAAAACTCAATAACCATTCACTTTTAATTAAAAAAAATAAATTTTCCATGTACCTTGTACAATCAGTATAACACAAGAAATAAAAAAACGTTAAATGTAAAATTCTAAGGAAAAATTTCATTCAATTTTAGTTTTAAAACTTCAATGAATTTTTAGATTCTTTTTACAATTTTAGAGTCTACTCTTTTTGAGTAGCGAAAGGGATCAATATCAATACAAGAGAAAAATTTAATTACTAAACCTTTCAGATTCGCTATTTTTCATGACGTTCTTTCAATACTTTTTTTAGCTTTAGTTTATAATTTTTTTTACTATTCTATTGAAAATCATGTAGCACAAACTGTTTTTAATGATATCCGAACTATTACTTCAATCTTCGCATTTCAAACAATATTCATTGAGATTTGGAGAACCAAATGGAATTATTAAAGAAAAATAAAATTCAATGCGCATCATACCTTTTTAGATTTTAGGAAAACGAATGTTATTTGATTAAGAACTTTTAAAGAATTATGCAGCAATATGATTGTGAGAATTAAATAAAGCGTTGTTTTTCGAAAGCTAAATTGCACATTAGACTGTAAATTAGATTCAATTTAAAAACTAACAGTAAAAGAAGTTTGAAAAATATTTGCAAATTTTGAACTCGTCAACCGATATTTTATGATTTAACTGAAATAATTTTAATGTAACATATATAGTATATAGCATCACACTGCTAAAAGAAGGCTCGATTATCATGATATCGTAAAAATAAGAAAATACTCGCAACAAAGTCTATGCTTTTAATTTTGCTCTTTGTTCAAGCTACTGGCTACTGAGATTGTTTTATGACAATATTAGCTAATGCCCACGTTGAATGTGATTATTAGCACCCGAAATGGATGTGTTCTCATAAATGAATAATTTTATCTTCTCTGTTTTAGTTTGTCGCGTTATAAGCCAATATTTTATATAAAAAATATTTTTTTAATTCTTCCAGAAATGCAATGAATCGAAAGTTTTAATGGAATTCGTTCCATTTTTTTCACCATAAATCCAAATTTGTTAACCGCATTAATTATAAGTACAAAAAATATATTGTATATCTACTTGTACTAGACTTCTTTTAAAATATCCTTAAAATAAGCCAACAATTAACCGGAAATGTAAATAAAAATTTTAATTGAACATTATACACAGGTAAAGAGAAACACCATTTTTTGCATTTTTGAACAAAAATAAAAGCAATTTATTCTCTACATGAAAAACCATTTTCTTTATGTATGGAATGGGTCCTTATAATTGCTTTAACGTTATGCTTATAATATGCAACAATGAGTTTTGGCGTTTTGGTTTAAGTATAGAAAATAAAATATAAAATAAATTGTAAATGTGGCTGATCTTTTGATTATTTTTATCTTTTGTTATACAATTGAACTGTTATATACATGGTTATTGAACCTTTTATTGTTACTTTACACTAAATGGTGACCATCATAATTTATAATGGTTTTACTATACCATAGATTTTGAATAAATTTAGATGGAATAATACGTGAGATATCACATTGTCCATTGTCCATGAAGCTTATGGTTAATTTTAAAAAAATTTCTGCACAAATATTGCGAATTTATTGGTTTTAGACAAAGGAGACTCGGAAGTGAAAAGGTAAAAAAAAATACTTAGTCTAATAAAATGGAACATTTGTTAATGTCTTTGAGTAAATAAAATTTCAGATTTCTGGAATTTTTCATTTCAAAGAAAAACGGCCTTGAAAAAACGACTGAATTTGGGAGATTATTGGGTTATTGTCTATATGCTATTTAAATTATAGCATAAAACAAGGCGCAACCTTCCTAGGTTTTCGTTTTTCAAATAATTCCCATGCCTCAATTTGCTAACAAAAAGCAGCACGAAAAACTTTGACCCTCAAGAACATTTTAATCGGGTAGCAAATAATTTTCTTCTATACAAATAAACCTCATACATTTAAATATCAATTTCTTAATTATTATACTTAGCAATTTTACCGGTTTTACTCTCAACTCGATTGTGGCAAGAAAATTTATTTCAAAAATAAACTTCGGATAAATTTTGGTGTAGTCTCGGATAGATAGAATGTCAAGTTATTACCTTGATACCAAGTGGCTTAAATCGAAAGAATGCAAGGCAAATAAGTTAATAACATTAGCCTTTCAAGCCTCATAACATTAGTGAGGATAAGAAAATTTTATGTTATAATACGACATTTTTTATTAGAAAATCTGGTAACTAAAATTATGAGTAATGATCACTATAATGGTCACTTTAATTTATATTAATCAATAATAATATTTATAAGCCCTTAAATATTTATTGAAACATTTCATGTATAATGCATAAAATAACTGATGAACTGATTATAAGAGTTACAATAGTTAAGTACGTCTGTATACAACACCATCAATCATATAAAAGAATTGAAATAAAATAAATATGTAATTGGATTTTATGAATTTATTGAGAAAATAGAGAGAAAAAAAAAATGGCATTCTTTTCATTTCTTGAATTCTTCATTCATCAATTTAATTTTTATCTGTTATACTACTCTCAACTAACTCCCTTTATATTATATATAGGTTTTAATTATTTTCTTTCATTAATTTGATATTTTTATTTGCTTTTAGTTTTTCGTTCTTATATAATAATAACTTTTTTTTCTCTTTATAATTTTTTGTTTTTATTATATTATATTTACTTACCCTCCTTGTGTGGCACTTGAAATAGATAATGTAAATATTGAATTTGTATAACCATCACAATTACATGAATCAGTATAACGTCCACCATTACCAGATGCCCATACAAATATTGAACCTTTCCCTTGACGACCACTAGTTACACCATAAATAAATGCACGACGTGCTAATGGTCCTGGTCCATCAACAGTAGAACCATCATCTTCTGGTCCCCATGAGGCACTATATATATCGATATGTTGTGGATTTAAGCTTAATGCTTTTGCTTCAACCGCATCATTAACACTTCCATCTAACATACGAACGCCTATACCAATACAAAATAAATAAATAAATAGAGAAATTGAGTAAATAGAAAATTAAGAAAATTAAAATTCTCATAATATTATTGTAGTATATACATATGGTATATATAAATATGGTATATGTAAGTATATTGTGTATATGAATATTTAGCACATCAGTTATAGAGTAATATACATAAGTGGTATGGTTCATAAATAAAATTAAAATGTTTTAATCTTTATATTAATCTATATATATATATATATATATACCTATAATGTGAATAAAATATACACACTTATCGTAAACGTGTAAGAGCGTATAGATATCTCTAAAATTGTTATATAAATTATGTAGTATTATAACAATAATAATATATAAAATTTAGTATATCAAATAGAATATATAAACTATGGTAAATACAGGCAGTAATTATATATGTATATATTATATGTTAATATTATAAGTAGCATGAAAAGCTTTAATTTATTGGGTAATACATAACTTTTGTGGCACATTTCCAAAAAAAAAAATTTGAAAATGTGCCTAATTATTTAAAGCCGTCCATCTGATTAAAAACTTCTGTAAGCTAGTCAAGACAAGAAAATTAAATTTTATATACCCAATAGATTTTGTAAATTGTGTAGAGTTGCGGTATTGGAATGACACCACATCTCGACTCATTGTTAGTATAGTTTCTTTTATTACCCTCCGGATAATATTAGACGTAATAAAAATTACTTCCTCAAACCAATTGTCTCAATTAATTCTAACTGATAAGAAATATATTTTATAAAACGAAGGAATTATTTGCCTAAAGCAAAATTCCTCCTTTTCCCGAATTATTGCCCCTTACAATTTGCAAAAAGTAAACTTAATGTTGTATATTTCTTTTGTGTACTATATGGCTTTGGAATTTCCATAAAAGCATACCTGTCATCTTAACACTTGTGTCTAAACTAAATTAATTTAACGATACAATTCTAGATTCATTAAAGTATATCGTAATTATTACTCCAAAATATCTCCTAAATTTATGCAAAACTGTGTGGTATTATTTCGGAAAATAATTATTTCAATTGATCATTTTGAATAAGTAGGCTCAAAAATCACATAAATACAAGCTTTAAACTTAAAGTGTTGAAAGAAAATGTGCCATTATTCAAATCATGAATTTAATCGACTACATTTTCTTATATACTACTTATATGTAAATTTATATTAGGAGATTTTAAGAATATTTCTTCCTATCATATGAAGTATTAGTTAAATTCTCTATAGGATAAACGCAATATAATAAAATCAAATAAGTGAAATAATTGAATGAAGAACTAAATATCTAAGGACTGAAATAAAAAAAAACTATAGACATATTTTTGATCGTATATGCCATAAACGAAATTATTCTATACAATTTTGTTACTTTTGCACATTTTTTTTTATTATTGAATTTTCTTTGTCTTTGATGTGCGAAAGGAGTTGTAGAAGAGAAAAGAGAGCATATGATTAACAAGAAAATTTTATAAGAAATTTTATAGATCCTTTGTAGTTGGTTGATTCTTATAATATGTTTAAGGTTACAAAATTTTCTTTCTTTCTATATACAATAAAAAAGTAAAAAAAAAAAAAAAATTTTCTTCCTTTCTTGAATTTTTTTTTATTCTCCTTTTTTCTCTCTGTTTTTGAATCTTCTTTGTTTTTTTTTTTTAATTTTCTTTATATTAAGAAAATAGTAGCTATGGCTTTCTTCCGCTTATAGAGGGTGAATCAGCAACGAATTCAATGACATATACCATTAATTAGAGGATCCAGATGGACAAGGCTTTTCGAAAAATATGGGCTTGAAACAAATTTTATTTAAAGGAGATCATTTGGGGTTTTAAGGTAAGACAGTATTTAATTATATAGGAATTTTATTTTCAGAATGACAAGCCATAAAAATTTAAAACAATTTTATTTTTCCTGCTTTATTCTCATAATCTTACAAAAAATTTCAATTTTGTTCGATTAAGAGAGTTAAAGCTGAGGCTCAATGAGCACTTTTAAAACAAAATATTTTGTTCGAAGTCTTTCTTAGACTTGAAGTTATCAACGAAATTATTGCTAAACTAGCTTAACCACAGAAATCATTAAAATTTTCACCACCCTTCCGAAACAAAACTTTTACACATTTTTTATTCTTATTTTATTTTATACTTTCTATGCGGTGTATCGACCTCTATATGTCGACACTATACGGTGTTACAAGAACCAATTGTATTAAATATTTCTGAATCACCCTTTATCGACATGGTATATAAGTTCAATTTAAGGATTACCATGTTTTCTTATTATTTATTTCTTTTAATTTTTTTTTTTTAGAGTCGATCTTAAGAGTTCTCATTTTTATGAAGTGATTATTGACATTAATTGGATGAAAATTCGTATATATATATATATATGTTTTTCTCTTTCTGTTTTTGATTATATTATTTTATTATTGTTGTTCTGGTTTCCGCATCTTTGCTATACAGATTTTATTCTTCTTCAACTCGTATATAAGGCTTAAGCTTTAAATAAACATTTATAAAACACTGAAAATATGTGCGAATACAATTCTTTTTTTTTAGGGTAGTTTGGGTGTATACAAAAGCCGATAAAGTTATTAATTGTGGTATTAAATATTTACATCATATATTATGTGTGTATATAGTGTTTATGACATCTGTTTTATTTCAATATATTAAGGATATCGTTTTGATGATTTCTGTAATTACTGAAAATGTTTACGTAAACTATCGCGTTATACACATGTGTAAAAGATAATTTTATATAATTATATATGTACTTTGTATATAATGTATATTTATTATTAGAATTAATTATAGAATATACTATATATATACATATGTATGTATATAATTTATATTCGATTATTTATAATAATAATTAAAATATAGGGAAGGAAATATTATGCTTTGTATTTTATTAAATTTAATAATGTTATACTGTAAATACTTGTATATAGGAAGACATAATATTTATAATATTGTTTGAATAGTTTAATTAATATTAATATATAGAAACCCTTAGAATATTATATGTAATTAAGGACATCAAATATTATGCGGTTGTATATTTAATTTTTTATTTGCATGTTTTATTTGAATAGTTATTTAATAAAACATGCAAATAAAAAAGTGTTTATTATAGATTTTGTATAAGATGTTTAATTATAGTAATTAAATTTTAGATATATGTATGTACATCAAGAAATTGAAATTATTTTACAGAGAGAAATAATATCTTGAGCAAATATAATTTCGCATATACAAAATGATTAAAATATTCATTATACTGTTATACAACAAAAATGTCATCAATATGTCATGAAAATGTCATTACAGTGTTAAAAATCTAACTTTTGAAAATGATATTCCAAAAAAATAAAACAAATTCAATCTAGCCATATTTTCAATAAACCTCAGAATAATATTCAATAAACAATTTGGAATCTTGCTCAGATTTCAATAAACAGTTTGGAAGTGAAGCGGAAATATCGACTTTTATTAAAAAGAAGTTTAATAAAACCAAACTTTTTAATTTGCGTCAACGCTCCAAAATGATAATCAAACAGGTTGTCAAAACGAATTTCTAAAATTTTTTAAGATCTCTCAAATAACTACTCTATTAGTATGGAATAACCTTAAAATCGATTTTCAAGAAAGTTCCTGAACATAAATTCAAATTGTCTTTATGTCTTGGTCTCCAGTAAACAAAGACTCGGCTCCAATTAGCTATCACATTGCCCCTACGAAAACAGCACAACTTAATCTTGCTGGTAGATGAGCATGAAGTCAACGACATAATCAAATTATCTTGTCAACAATAACACGTGTTCTAACTAAAGTGCACGTATACATCAATTAGACAAACCTTCGTTTGAAAAACTTTCGGATATATCTTTCATTTTAAGTCCCCTTATAAGATTTTTATGTCTACAAATATTCTGTTGAATATTCTTAAAGAATTTCGCTTTTACTTTATAATAAACTCGAAACTAAAAATAACATTAAACAAATGCGGATTAAAATAGATTGACCTTAAAAAATAAGTAACTGGGGCTATTTGAGATGATTTAAAAATTTCCTATTATGTATGCTGAAAATCCTTTATTAAAAATTTTTGTTTTTACTAAACAAAAATAATATAATAAATATTTTGTAATGAAACATAAAAGGATAACAAGAAAACTTCAGCACAGCATCATCATATTTCTTCCGTTCAAATGTCAGAAACAAAATATGTAGTAATTTTTTTTTTCCAACCCTCGCTCTATTCTATTTTGTTAACTATTTCTACTTATATCCTATTACTTTCCAAATTCCTAATAATTTAAAGGACAATCTATTATAATAGTCTATTTTACTGGTTCCACAATATTGTAGCATATATTATAATATTATATACATTACTCCGGCACCAAGTCTATGTTTGATATAAAAATAGTATACTATATCGTTCTTATAATAATTTTCTGTACATGACACTTTTCAAAAATCATTTGGAAACCATTTATCATTTCCTATACTCGTACAAATTCCGCATTTAGATATTCATGCAAATATTTATAATTTGTATATGTGTGTGTCACTCGAGCGCTTGTTTCGAATAAACGCCATATTTTCTATTTTTGTATTAATTATGTGTTTAAGTTTCTCTTGGGAGTTTTCTTTTATAATTTCTTAAAGGTTTTTTCGGATCTTTAATAAGTTTTAGAATTTTGTTTTTGTAATAAATTTTGTGTTATTGTAAATATCATAGATTGAATATTTTGCTGTTGATAATTACAGGCAACTAAGCATAAATTCGGACAACTGTAAATGAATTCGAACAAATTCGTGGTTGCAAAACTAAAAATTTCAAAAGCATGCAATTCAATAAATCGTAAGAATAACATTGCCTTACAAAATTCTGTATACACTTAACTATGTTTCACTTTCGTTTAATTAGAAAATTTCACTGAAATTTACAGAGTCAGGT